CAAACTCCTCCCTTCCCCCCTCCCTTCCCCCATTCTTCCTCTCCTTCTCTCTTTCTCTCCCTCTCCTTCCCTCCCCCTCCTTTCTCCCTCCCTCCTCCTTCCCCCTGTATGTGTATGTAGCTCTCTCTCTCTTTCTCTCTCTCTCTAACACACACACACACACACACACACACACACACGCTCTCACGTGCACTTGCATGCTAGGGTTTGAACTCAGGGCTCTCTGCTCTCCCACAGGGCTGTTAGAGACAAGAGACTTAGCTCACAGTTCTCCCTGTGCCTGGCTTTAGGGAAGACCTCAAGGCAGACTAGGCAGGGGTGTGCACCAGAGATAGAGACTGCATTACCAACAGGACGCAGGGGGAGACTCAGATCCCAGAACCCCTTCAGAAGGCCACTCCCAACTAGTCTAAGGACCTTGTACTAGGTCTTAGCTCTTAAAGGTTCCAGCATCTCCCACATTACGCAGTGGGAATCAAGTCTTGGAGGACAAACAACACTGAAACCAGAGCATCTGAAGCTGTTTCTTGGAATATCTCTCCCACCCAGTCCACGAGCTGCCCTACTCTAGAAAGTCACCTCCTGGCTTCCTCTCCACTCCGTACCCTGAGTTTTCACAGAACAGTCTGTTTCACCAAGGGAGCATATGACCTAAAAGAAGGGGCGTGTTCGTATGAATCCCTAGTTGTAGAAATGAGAAGTGGGGAGCCCTCTGTGGCTTCCATTTCCTCCTCTGCAGCCTGGAGGAAACAGCAATGCTTACCTTACAGGGCTCTGAGGAGAATCAGTTGAGATGCTGTACGCAAAGAACTCAACACAATATGCAAACACTTGACACATGGCGCGCCTTCCTGTCTCGCAAGCCCAAACTGAGCGCTGTGCAGATTTAGAGATGCTGGGATTGGCTAGGTCTGGGCCCTGCAGCAGCTTTCAGGGTTAGGAACTGGCTCTACTCCTCCAGGACACCAGAACTGAAACCCTCACCACATCTCAGGACTCTGGGTACACAACGGCCAACAAATCTGGGTGCACACTCCCAACCACACTTGGTCCTGCACAAACCCTAAGCCACCATAGGAAATAACAAGTGACAAAACCCAGCTGGTTCTCAGTGGAATTTTCCACAGGCTCCTCCTATTAAATGCTATCACCATACTATCTCATTCATTATTTTAATTGTTGCATTTGTTTGTTTGTTTTCCCCCCTTTCTCTCTCTCTTCCTTTCCCCATTTCCTCACCCCACCCCCAATTTCTAGCTGTCAGACTTGGCAGAGATTATGCATTCTACAGGAAAAACCTTTTTTTCCCCCTTTCTATTTTTGTCAACAGCAGTTTGGGTTTCCTTAGCATGAGAGATTTCTTCCGGTGCCCTTTGCCGGAAGAAGATGGTGTTCACACACTCAGAGCAGGGGAACTTGACTTGGGGATGGCAGCCTCCACAGCCCCTGTAAGGTCGAACCAATGCCTCTGTCAGGGCTTAGCCACTTCCAACGGTCTCTCCATGGGATGGAGCTGAAAAGCTTCGGAACTGGAAAAGGTTGCAGTTGGGAGGCTGGTTGCAGCATATTTCCCAGCACAGGCAGTTTGACCATCCCACCGTCTTGTAGTGATGTGGCAAGCAGGCCTGCTTTTCGTCCTGCCTGGATCCCGCATGGCTAGCTTTACATCCAAAATAACAACACACAAATTGTATTCATTTAAACACTGCCTGGCCCATTAGTTTCAGCCTCTTATTGGCTAATTCTCACATCTTGCTTAACCCATTTCTATTAATGTGTGTAGCACCACGAGGTGGTAACTTACCAGGAAGATTCTAGCCTACGTCCATCTTGGGTCGAAGCTTTATCGTGTTTGACCTCACTTCCTTCTACCCAGCATCCTGTTCTGTTTACTCCACCCACCTAAGGGCTGGCCTATCAAATGGGCAAAGGCAGTTTCTTTATTAACCAATGAAATCAACACAAACAGATTGACAGATGACAATACTACATCACCGTCTTGTGGTGGCTCTGCTCCCTTGGGATTAACTCCTTTCACCCAGCTTATTAACCCCATTCTGATCAGCACCCTGTCCTTCATACCAGTCTTCTTCCCATCCTCTTAACAAGGCCATACCTCCTACCTCAAAGGAACTTGCTGCTCTTCCCAGGTAGACACTGCCCCACCCTCTCTTATTGCGCCAGCTCAGTTCCAATGCCAATCACACTAGGCATGGTACACACAGTTGTCCCAAGTATCCCCAGTCCTATTACCTGTTTTCATTCCCTTTAGTAGAATCACCTGGCCTGTCTGTCTCTGTGTGGTGTAGTGGACCCTTGTCTATCTTGTCCAGCTCTGGATCCTGGCACAAAATTAGTGCCCAACAGGCTTCCGTAGACTTTTGCTAAGTAAATAAGTGAATTTAATACTTCCTTATTTAGTTTTTGTTTCTTTATTTGTTTTTGAGGCAGGGTTTTGCGCCATTTAGGGCACTCTGGAGCCAAGGACAACCTTGAACTCTTGATCTTCTGGTCTCCCAAGTATTGGGATTACAGGTCTACACACCACACCTGATTTTCTCTTCTCTTTCATCTCTTGATTTGGGCCTTGCCCAAGCTCTTTACAGCAGGCATTGACTATGACGCTGCCTTTACAGACTAGGAAAGGGCTGCAGAGTTGGGAACTGATCCTCTCTGGCTGCCCATCCTTGCTGTGTGACAAAGCACAGCTCAGCACACTTGCCTAAAACAGGGAACTGTTCTCTCTGTGGGCTGACGTGGTTCTTATGCTGCTCTTGCCTGAGCCCGCTCTGCATTCACCTGACAGTTCTAGGCCAGCTGAGCGTCACTCTCCAGCCGCTCTGTCGTCTGAAGCGGCTGCACAGTGCAGCGACTGGAGCACCACAGGGATGGTGGAGAGAGAGCTCAAGCTGCAAAGGTCCCTGATTCAGACCCCCAGAGCAGGGTATATGTTCCACCCCCATCTCACAGGAGCCTGGACCAAACTGTGGGGGTCATTTTGAAACAGCCATCCTTCCAAGCCACCAAGGGCTCGAACCAGCCTGACCATGCCGACGACTCGGAAAGAACTGAAGGGACCACGACCATCAACAAGATCAGATGACTTTGGGTCTAAAGAATGGACTCGGCAGTTAAGAGCACTGGCTGGTCTTCCTGAACCTGAGTTTGAGTCCCACCACCCTCACAGTGGCTCATATTTGTAACTCCAGTTCCAGGCTGTCCTGTGCCGTCTTCTGGTCTCCATGGACACAAGGCACACTCATGGTGTAAAGACATATATCCAGGTAGAACATTCATACATATAAAAATAAAAATTAAAAACTTTTTTTTAAAAAAAAAATAAAGAGATCATATGACCTCAGAAATTATAAAGGCTTTCAGCAGGCTGAGCTCTTGTTAATAGTGCTTGTTTCCTGGGGCCTCAGGTAAGGAAGCAGCTTCTTCCAGAGGCCCCTCTAATGGCATCCCACAGAAGACAGAAAAGAGACATTGTGAGTTCCAGTCAAAGCCATTTCCATCAACACATTAGTATCCTTACAAGTTACAGCCCATCATGGTCTATCTGAGAAGAGCACTATGTGGGTGTGGACAGTGGCCTCACTCATCGTGAGGAGGCCACTGGGGATGGGAGGAGCCTGGATTTGAACATAACTCCAAGGAGAAGTGTGGGCTTGCACTTTTGTTTCATTTTGTTTTTGTTTTTCGAAACAGGGTTTCTTTGAATGTAACAGCCCTGGCTGTCCTGGAACTCACTCTGTAGACCAGGTTGGCCCTGAACTCACAGAGATCCCCCTGCCTCTGCCTCCCAAGTGCTGGGATTAAAGGCATACACCACCATGCCCAACTCAACTTGCACTTTTTACAGATGACCTGGGCTGCTTGTCAATGGCGGGCAAACGAGAAGCATCCAGAATGCCACCTTAAACTGGTTTGGCACATATATCCCTAGTGAGCAGAGGATGTACAAAGTTCCTATTTCCCTCCCACTGCCCTGGCCAAGGCTTTCTCCTTTGCTGTCCAAGCCTCTCTGAGGTGCCTAGGACGCCTTAGGGCTACAAATGGAGACACCTGCCTAGTGCTTACCACAGGGCTTCGATAGAGGGGCAGGATGGCCACAGTGCTGTGCCAGGCACGGAAGCAGCAGCCTGGCAGAGGAAGGCAGGTAGGTGAGTGGAGCAGTCCCTGGGTCTTTGGGGGTCTGCTGTGTGAGGGAGTTCTCTGCAGAAGTTTGGCGAAGGGAAGTGAGAGATTCAAGGCTATGCAGATTTCAAGCACATACTACTGACAGGTGCTCCACCTCAGGCTGCCTTGGCTCCACATCTGGGAGATGGGACTTTCTGCCTGGACAGACTTTATTTGTCCTACCCCCAAAACCCCACCCCCTCCCTGTTGTCACCAGAACCCCGTTCTGACTGAGCTCTGCCTATTCTCAGTTCTCAGACCTCTGCCTTTCCAGGTCCCCAAACTGGTTCTTCTCTCACATTCTGCAAGCTTGGAGTGGTCAGGTCCCGGGAATTCGGGTGAAGGATTCTGCCGATTTCGGGTTTAGAATTCTCAAGCCGGAGTGGGCCATAGCTAAGCATCCCCTCTCACGCCATCAGTGTGCACGCAGGTGGGCAGGGTCTCAGGCCAGGGAGGTGCCCAGGGTAAGGGCAGGAGGAAGCCATCGGGTGTGTGTGCGGAAGGGGGGAGGGTTGATAAGTGACCCTGTAAAAAGAACAGAGACAGGGAGAAAGTGTCCAGAGAGGGAAAGGGGGGGGGGGGGGGGGAAAGGGGGGGAAAGAGAGAGGGGGGGGGCGGGGGNGAGGGAGGGGGAGGGAGAAGAGAGAGCAAAAGAGGGAGGGAAGGAGGAAAGAGAAGAGGAGGAGGGAGAGAGGAGGACAAATAGGGGAGAGGAGGGGATGAATATGTGAGAAAAATGCTAAGGGAAGGAGCGGCTTTCAGAATAAGGAGGAGCGAGTTGGGGGCGGGGACGAGGAAGTGGGTGTTAGGCACACGCCACCAGCTCCATCCTTGTCCCAGCCAGTGCAGGCGCGCGGACCTAAGCGACCCGGTGCTGGCAGCGCACAGCAGCAGCACCAGGTAAGGTAAGGTGGCCGCCGCCTCCCGGGAGACGTCTCCTCGGGAAGGGAACGTGGGTGGGTGACGCGATGACCAGGCTGTGGCGTGGAAGCTTTGGCTGCCTGCTCCAGGATCCTCGGGGTGCATTGTGACCCCGTGCCCAGTTTCGACCTCGGGCTGCGCTGCAAACAGCAGGCACCTGACCTTGAGCTAGCGCCTCTACCTCGGTTTCCTCCCTGTAATCCTCAAGGGTCATACCCACCACAAAGTGGGATTAAGAGCTAGGTTTGCAACCCCATCCCGCCAAGCGAGGGATTGTGGGGCAGCCTCAGACGCCCCCTACCCGCTAGGGTGGATTTGAAAGTCTACCTTCACCTTAAGGCTTGCTTTGTCCCTCAGCCTGGCGGTGGCGGTGGCGTTGCTCCCCTGATGTATATGTGGGAGCTTGGAGAGACTTTTGGATTGCTGAGCACCAGTGAGGCACCTGGGGCTGACGGGAAGGAGGCTCTCTAGTTTCTCAAGAACAGGTCGCCCTGCCTACATCCTCCTGAGATGCTGCCCCATAATGGGGAATGAAGACCCCCCCCCCCCCCTGCGCTCGACTGGGAGGGAGGGACTCCTCCACCAGGGACTTGTGGTAGCTGTTGTCTGGTAGAGGAAGTGGCCTTGACTCTGGCTTTGGCCTCTGGAGCAACCCAGTGACCTTGAGCCTGGAAGCCTCAGTTTCCCCACCTGACACTCATTCTGACAACAGGTTGATGCTGCTGATCCTATCCTGGCCCTGAGCATGAAATATGACCGTGAAAGGCATAGCTCAGGGCCTGGCACCTAGCATGTACCCCTGATCAGCTATGGTTCCCTGCTTGTTCCCTGTGTAGGGGGCAGAGTAGCTACACGCTAACTGGAGGTGGCTGATGACTGTCGGGTTCCCTTACCAAGCATTGCCTTTAAGGGTCAGGAAGGAAGGTCACTTCTCAGCGTCCCACAGAAAGCTGATCCCAGGCCGACTGCCTGTGCAGCTGACCCCTCTCTGTGCTGTATCACCCTGTCTGGGTATCACCTTGTCTGGGTATCACCCTGTCTGGGTATCACCCTGTCTGGGTCAACCTCCTCCCGGTTTTGTCTCAGCCTAGATGGTTTCCCCGGGTTCCGAAGCAGCCGCATTCCCTCTGTGCTGGACTAATAGCTAATTTGCAGTAACTGCATTGACTCAGATGTGTATTATTCAACTCCCATGAGATGAAGGATACATCAGAATTGGAGGGACAATGCCAGATTCCATCTGGCAAACACTCCTTTTAGAGACACTATCTCCTGAAGATCTGGGGACCCTTCCAGCTGCCATGTCCATGGGGAAAACAAACCCAGCTGTGGTCCCGCTCCACCAACGCCCCGAAGAAGTAAAAGCAGGATTAAGCTGCAATCTGAAGGATTTAGCTCATCCCTGGGAGGGAAAACATCCCTGATACTGGGGTAAGGGTCTTGGCAGGCCAAAAATATTCTTTGCCAAAAGTGTTTTAAGACAAGAGTACACTCACACGAAGTGACTGGGATGAGGAAAAAGACTATCAATCCTCAAGATAAGCACCCAAACTCAAGAGTGTCTCCACGGCCGAAGAGAGGGCTTGGCATGTCTTTATTGAAAACAGAGAGCTGGAAATGGATGGGAACAGCCTAACCCATTGCAGATACAGATGTGGCCCCAGGCTTGTGACAAAAGCTTGGGGAGAAGGGGGAAGGGAATCAAAAGGCGGTTAACAATGTTTGCCCAGGGTGACAGGGTTGTTCCTCAGGCTTTCCTGATTTTATGCAAGGAGCACATACTTCAGTCATCAGCACACAGGCTTCTGTGGCTTCCAGGGCTGTGGTCATGGGGAGAAACGGAGAGAGTGAACAGAGATGCATTTCCAGTGCGGTTCTGTGAATGGACACCCTGCCTCTGAGGCTTCCAGGTCCCCTGGAGCAGGTGTCCTTAGAAGCAGTTTGCCCGATTAAGTTTGTCACCATCTTTTTGTTCCCTATCTTTCATCTGACCCCCACCCGTTCCCAGTTCTCATATTTATCTCATTATGAGTTGCATAATACAGATCTGAGAATTCACTCCCCTGCTCAAAAATAGGTCCAAAGTCCTTAGACGGGAATGCATGGCTCTTCTGTGCTTCATTCTTATGGGTACGCACCTTCCCAGGGACCCCTGAAGGTGGAGGTTCTAGGACCTTTTCTCACCGGTCCTTGCACAAAGCTAGTGTGAGTGTTCTTGTCAGTGGCAGAAGGACACAGGCACATCTGTGTGGAAACCTGTCAATGTCACAGGCGGAGAAGGAATCATAATCACTAATGCCAACAGAACCTGGCACTTTGTGTGCTCCCCAACACATGAGTAACCATCCCACAGCCCTGTGAGAAGCAATGCCCTGGACCACGTAGGTTATAAAATGGCTCCTGAGTGACCACAAGGTGATAAGCTCTGCGCTAGAGTCCAGGGACCCAACACAAGGCACCTTCTCTACAGGCAATGCAGAGGGAGAATGGAAACAGGTGCCCTAAAATTGGAGAGCGTAGGAAACTGGAGACCTCAGGGGGAGATGCTCAAAAGATTCTGCAATAGTCTCCAGCAAAGAAGGAGGTACTGGCCAACAACCATGCTGCACTTCAGGGGACCTTGTTGACAACTGCAAGGCTTTGAATGTCATGATATCAGGAGGGATGCTCTGGCATCTAGCTGTAGAGACTAGGGACACTGTTGAGCAGTCCACAGCCCCTGTATACTCCTATATACTCCCAGCCCTGCAGCAAAGAATAGCCTTGCCTCAAATGTGGATGGTGCTGGGGTTCACAAACCCTAGGGTGGAAGAGATACATCCTAAGTGAGATCAGTATGTCCAAGATGTCTGCAGGTAGACACTAAGTGTTCTTGTGAGCTGGCCACTGCCATCCAGAACCTGCTCTGTGGCTGCCGGGCTCCCATGCTTCCCCTTCATGCCTCCAGAAACCAGGGTGGCCTTTTATTTAACTATAAAATTTTATACTAGAAAATCCACCCACTTAAACTGTACCAGTCAAGGGTTTAATAGAGCCGCTGGCTTTCGAAAGCACTCTAAACCTGACCCACACCCATCTTATAGGTTACTCGTATTGGTGGGTCCACAGTCACCAAATTTTAAAACCACTTTCACCATCACTGAAACAAACATTAGCCGTTCACCTTCCCCTTCACCCTTCAGCAGCACCCACCTCCACCCTTCAGCTGCTCATCTACTTTCTATCTCTGTAGACCTTTCTGTTCTGGACATCTCGGATAAATATTCTCACAGCATGGGACCTTTCGTGACTGGCTTCTTCTACCTTGGGAAATGTTTTCAAGGTCCATCCTGTTGGAGCATGTTGATGCACATGCTTGCATGCCTTTTTAGAGCTGACTAATATTCCACTGTATGGGAGCCCCTTTCTATTTACCAGTTGATGAGAAGAAGTTGGGTTGCTTCCACTCTAGGGCTGTTTTGGTCGGTCTTTCTGTGAGCACTTGGGTATAGGCCTTTTGGAAAGACGCATACTTTTCGTGGGGTGTGTACGTGGGAGCAGATGTACCCATTGACTTGAGTTCCCCCATCCGCTTGTGCCTTTTGTTCAGGATCTGTCCAAACATTCAGGTAAAGCTTCTCACCTCACTTCCTTACTTAGACCACACTACGAACTCCACAGATGTCTGTCTGCCTGGCAGCCTGTGACCTTGGCTGTGTCTCTGCTCTCTCTGCTGGCCTCAAAATGAGCTCTCTCCTTCTCCAACCTTGGCATGTTTTCTCTGTCCATGTTGCCCCAGGTGGAGCCCCATAGAGGCCCTTCCTGGCATCTCCACCTCCAGGCTAGCCCAGACTCCCCAGAACATCTCAAAATTTCCTTTAATCATTCGTTCCAACTTGATAAAATCTTGACGAACTGCCTCAGGTGTGACTCCACATTTCCTCCCTCTCTGAGATCCTGGGCAAGTAGATTTTCCTCTCTAGACCGCGGGTGACCAATCTGAAGAAACCACAGGGGCCTATCATTGGCTGATCTCAGAGGGGTTTTTCCAACTTAACCCTTGTTTGACAGTGTAGTGAGAAGGGTGTGGGCCTGGCCACAAGGAGAGAAAGCTAGCTAGGCCCATGATGGTCATGGATTGGAGCAAGCAGAAAGGCAAATTGCTACGAAACTCATGAGACCTTTCTCCTGGAGTATATGGGAACTTTGGCCTGGTTTCTGGACTCAGAAAACAGCAGAGGTGATCATAAATACTTCTAGCTCCAGAAACAAAAATGAATGCCATGGTCACTGCCAACTCTAAAATTACTCCTGATAGAATGGCCTCCAAACATCCAACCAGCACCTCTGAGCATCAGGGCTATCTGTTCTTTCACTGAGACATTCAGGAAACACTCGCTAGGCCTGCCATGTGTCCAGCCCTGAGCAGTTCACAAAAGACAGAGGCGGGTGAATGTGGCGCCTGCCCAAGGATGCCTGTTTAGCAGGGAAGACAGTGCTGAGGATGCCAAGGGACAGCACAGCCCTTCAACCAAGTGCAGCACCCACACTTGGAGAATCGAGCGCTCCCTCTTCAGAGGAAGTCACCTCCAAAGAGTTCCAAGACTGCCTTGGAGATGAGGGTGTGCAAGGAGTGTCGGGGTCTTTCAGGCAGAGACACAGAGGGTCCAGAGGCAAGGGGCTGCAGCGCTTCCGGGTGTTCTTAGGGCAGTTAGAACAGCTAGGCTTCATTTGATGTCCACAGGGGATGGGGTGGGAAAGGGTCGTACAGAAGTCCACAGAACGCAGGTCTTCTCTGCCGAGTGCACTGTGGGAGCCACGTGGAAGTCTAGGCTTTCAGTGATCAGGTTTGCTATCCCTTCAGGAAGCACAGAGGAAGGCAGGCTAGAGGAGGGTACAGACCTGGAGCCCACTGAGGATGCCCTGGCCCTCGATCCTTACAGCCAGAGAAGGGAATGGATTCAGAAGGAATGGGAGGTCAAATCACCAGGGCAGGTATG